AAGTAGGATATATTAAAATAATAATAGATTAGTTATATGTATAACTGAGTTAATTATATTGAAATAATTTGAATTGTATAAATATGATTTTGTTTTGATTAATTGATGGCCTTGCCACCATGTAAAATAAAACCAATAAAAATTTTGTTGAAAAAAAAAAAAACTATAACAATTATTGCAGAACCTGCTGTGTGGAGACATCTTTCTGCTATAGTTTGGGATCAGCTTCAGTTCCGGCACTTTGAAGAAACTCAAACACTTGTGGGGGTCTGCCCTGTTTCCTATATTAATGCTTATGTAGCTGTCAATATGTAAATAGGTTACTATAACTGGACAACCCATCCTCCCAAAAAGTTCTCCACCCATTTCTTCTTACATACAACATACAAGTGTTGTCCATTTGTCATGAACGACAGAACAACAGACTGCAGTAATTACAGAAGGACAGAAAAAGTGTGCTTTTGATCTGTATTTGCATAAAATTTAGGAATCCATAAGCTTCACTTCTGAAATATTCTTTCCGTTATCTGCTAAGTAGCACATGGGAAGTTCTAGAGTCAAAGCCTCATTGCTCATCCTGCATACCTGCAATGCCACAGATCGTAATTCTGCTATAGGAACATAAGGCACTTGCTACCTCAGTCTATTTGACATTGACTAGAACTGGCATTTCAGGGTTTTAGGCAGCCAATATTCTACTTCAACCCAGAGATGCCAAGGATGAATTTGAGATCATGGGTATGCAAAGCAATGAATTACACGATTACACAGGTTCACAACCACGCACAGGAAGCAGCGGCACGAGATAGGAATTGCAAACCTTTAGGCCTGATGATGTTCTAATCAGCAGAAGCAAGATGAAGAGGGACCAGGGAAAAGCTATTTTCTATAGCATTATCCGTTCACAGAACTCCCTTCCAAAATTGCTTTTTCCTTTACCTGACTTAATTATTCTGTACCTAATTATTCTGTAACCTTAATTACTGTTCAGCCAAGTTTCAATTGCATTCTCCTCCCTGATAGTAAACAACTCTGATGTCATTTTCAAAAAAATAAGTATATAAATTGCATTAATTAAAGTAGGAGAAGGACACTACCATAAATATTCTCTAACCTACTAAGTAAACTAGTTTACGATAAAAAAAAAATCTAATCAAAATTCAGTTAGCTCAGAGTTCTGAACATAATAGAAAATTGGGCAAAAAAAGCTTCCAAACAATGTTCTTGCAATCAGTTGAGTTTGGAACATTAAAGCTAGAAGTCTTTTTTATTATAAATCAAACATGGTTGTGTTTTAAGAGCATTTAATATTAAAACTTTTTTTTCCCATTGTGCACACAAACTGGACTTGGGCCACTCTCTGCTTCTCAGCCCAGCCTACCTAACAAGACTGTTATAGAGAAAAATGGAGAGAGAAAGCACTATGCATGCATCTTTAGCTCCTGAAATAAGTTGTAATGGTCCATTAAGTCAGTCCAAATATTTGGTGAATTCAGGAATGAGTCCATGCAATTTTCTTGGCCAGATTTTCTGAAGCGGTTTGCTTTGTGCCTAAGGCAGGACTAAAGCTTACAGTCCCCCAGTAGCTTTAACCATTATTGTATACCAAATTGGCTCTCCTAAAAACAAAGGTAGAATACAAATCTAATAAAATAAATAAATATGCAAATTCGGTCATATTTTGGGCTTCCCATTAAGAAACTCACATACAACTCTAATATTATGTATGTTGATTTCAGTTCATATATAAGAAATTGCAGATAATGTATCTCTTAAAAGCAAACAATAATATAAAGTGTTATTCCAACAACTTCAATTGATTTTGCCTTCAGTTTTGTATTTTAGTTTTAGTTTTAACTTATGTAATATGTTTTTAATGTATGTTTAATCATGTTCTCATTCTAGTAGCGTATTCTAAAAGCATTTTAACTTCTCCATACATTCTGCAAGTGGGTTAATACACTTACAAATGGTTTAGAAAAGCTCTAACCTACTTATTTTAAATTATAATCTTCACACCAATATATAATTTAAACACATATTAGTAATTATAATTATACATGCGAACAAATATTAACAGTTAACACTGGAAGAAATGCTCAGAAGCAAAACATTTCAATCAAACAAATATATTTATAACTTTTAAAAGTCATTCCATCACAAAGAGCATTAAAATGGCAATTAGGCAGCAACATTTTCGCTTCCCTGCATTGACAGCATCCAAAACAGCATCATAACAGTGTGTATCTTTCTCCTAAACTCCTGAGGTAGATTGAAGCATTTGGTTTATTATGGAAGAGAGTCATGCTACAGCAATCTAAAATGTTATGGATGAATGGAGAAGCTGTGGTAGCAGTATTTTCATTTCCATTCTTTTCCTCAGCACATAGTTTGATTTTGTTTTCCGGCACAGAACCACAATGTGCATTTAAATTTCTTACTTGCATCAATTTATCCTGAAATAAAATTATTTGGCAACTTCATTTAAATCTGCTCCCTCCCTGTCCCAATTCAGATTCTGAAAGTCAAGGATATTATCACTTAGTGAAACAACACTGAAATTTGTGTCTTTTGGAAACATGAGTAAATATTCAGCTTATGAACATATGTTACACAACTATTTCAAATCAAGCCAAAGAGAGACATGTTATTAAGAACTACTTTATCTTTTAGCTAGTGGCATCCCGTTGCTAACCACTTAGAGAATAACAGCCTTTATCATTGTAATTACATGCTAGATTTTCACTAGAGTTCTGCTACTATAGTTTTCAATAGTCAATGAATTTTGCAGTTTTTAACTTACTGCCAATATTTTAAAAAATATGTGGGGAGTAAGTTATAAAGTATATTCAATTATTTTCAGACTCCATTCAAGAATCACTGTAAATACAATCTTCCAAGGTGGCTCAGGCATTTTATCTTACAGATGACAGATTGCTAAATGAAAGCTACACTGCAGGTTGTTGTACGACCTTGGAAATGTGTTTTACTATGAAAAATACAACATAGATATTCTTGTTGTTACCATATTGCTATAACCTGGTAGAAATATTTAATATTACCATACAGCATACTGGCACTAGTAAAACAATTTAAAGCCATGTGAAATATTAATGTTTTACACAACTTTGAGCAAATTAAAAATAAATAAAATTAATTTCTCTCATTAATTTAAATTTAAGAGAGACTTAGAGGATACTTTAATATACCTGCCATTATCAAAACTTGGGACTCCGATTCTCCAACACACACAGGAACAATTCATTTGCCACATATTTCAAAATGATATTTCAAAATGATTTTCTTTTTTCTGATAACATAAAAAGATCTTTCCAAGCCCTTTCATTCCATTTCGTTTCAGCACCCCTGAGTTATATAACATGCCCTGATGTCAGTTCCAAGTTTTTAAGCTTCATTTATAGGTTTATCATAGCACAGCCCTTGAAGCATGCAGCTTTCCTTCCCCTCCCTCATTATGCAAGGAAAAGTACCCTTCCCAGGCCCAGCTTCTCTGATGACATCGTTAATGCAGAGCAGCTCCCGCTATGCAGGGGACGGAGCACACTGACTGCAAAACCAGAGGAGGGGGAAAAAAAAGTCTTTGCCCTCCTATTACTATCCATTTGCAGCATGAGAGAATTAAGGACACGTATTATCCGGTTATGTTTGTTTGTTTAAAAAAAGTAGGCTATGTTTTAAACTGCAGCGTTATTTCTATTGGCACCCACGAGCCACCCGCACTTTCCCGTGGGCTCCGAGCCTGCACAAACACCCTTCCCCCCCCCAGTCAACAACGTGCGCCCAAGAATGCAGACCTACTTCTCTTCCTCGGTCGGGCCGATGGGTGTGGACGGGGGCATGAGCTAAGCTAAAACAGCTGCTCCTCTCCCTCCCCTGCCAATAGGGAACCCCGGACCGCCGCAGTTAGTCTGGCTCGCCGGCCTGTGCGCAGTTCTGTCCCCCCATCCGCACACAGCCATTGTCAAGTCTGCAAACGGGCCTCTCAGACCCGGCTCGCTGCTGCTGCTGCTGCTCTGCGGCGTTACGACGCTCCCGTTATCTGCATCAGTCGTTCTCCCTCCAGTTGCAGCGGCAGCCACTCTGGCAGGGGACTGGCTGTGGGGCGAGCCGCGGCATCCCCCTGGTCGTTTTCTACCCTAAGCCCACCCCCTACCCCGGGGTCGTAGAAGGGGACAGATAAATCAAGGAGTCTCGTCGCTCCCCCTCCACCACCACCACCACCACCCCGGTCCTTCCCCGCGCAAAAAAAAGCGGCGGCAGGGGAGAACGCACCTGAGTTAAGTGAGCTCGGGGCGCGCTGCAGGAGGAAAATGCGGACACGCGTGGGGCGGTGGAGGGAGGAAACGGCGTGGAAAGTGGCGGCGGCGGCGGCGGCGGCTGCTCCGGAGGGAAGGCGGCGGTCGTGGCGTCGCCCGCNTATTTTACTGGGCTGGTAAATCTGATGCTAGAATGCAATGTGAAAAAAGACGACATGTAAGCAAGAGCAGCATAAGAACTTATGCAAATAATGGTAGAAAGGGCTTGACCAACATTAGGGGGTAGGTCACATAGTTTGGGGGGATACCCCTGCAGCCTCTGAAGCTTCCCTTGGCATCAACCAAATGACCATTTGGCAGTAACCATTTCAAGGAGGGAGGGAGGATATCAAAAAAAATCAAGAGGCAACTCTGCATGATCAACTCCCCTGCCACTATTTTTACATGTGATGAGGAGAGTAAATAGGAAAGGCATTTGTATGCTGGACTTGAGTTACAGAGAAAGCATTTTTTCCTCTCAAGGCTTGCCCTTCAATTTGTTTCAGCCTCTGGGAGATAAAGAAGACAGTTTTGATTTCACCAAAGTTGACAAGGTAGAAATATTCAATCTTGTTTCATCTTCTGAGAAATTGGTCCATATGTACATACAATATAGTTATTAAGGCTTGGGGTTAAGCTTTAAATATTCAAAACTGAAAAACAATGTGCGCCCCTGTAAATTAGTATTTTGCATATTTTAGTGACATGAACCTGTGACATAGGAATCAGAAACTCTGATTTACTCCGTTCCCCAAAAGTACTTTATTCTTAGTTTTATATTTCTTTCTTAAGAGAAGCAAATCAGGTATCCTAGTTTTACACTTCCCAAAAACAATGAGAAATATTTCCAAACTCTTTACTTGCCCCTACAAGCTGAAGCACTAAGTATAAATAATTATAATCATGCATGCATCATCATCATCATCATCATTAACTAGAATTTGGGATTCATTCACAATATTTGAAATATAGAGAACAAAAAAAATCTTTGCACACGGAAAAGTGTACCTCTATACCTGAATTTGGTGTACTTTTTTTCTTCTCCGGTATATTCCGCTGTACAAAATATGTTCATGTTGGATACTTCCCATTCCCATCGGCCCTCACTGTCATCTGAATTGATATTACTGTATACAGTACTGTGAAAGTACCGTGAAACTCATTTAACAGACTAATCAGATTGAGGGGGCTCATTATTCACCAGTATCATTTCAAAGTACCATATCATGACAAGTTATATAATTTGTATAATGAAATCATTATGTAAATTATATAAATGACATCATTACACAAATGATGTAAATCACTGAGAAATCTCTTGTCACATGAAATGTTTATTGTAACAAGATCTATTAAATCAAGGTTTCATTGTGCTAAAAGGAAGAGACCTGCTGCCTACAGCTATGAACGGTACAGACAAAAATTAGTAGTTTAGGAAGTATGTCCTCCAAGGTAGGTTTTTTCTTATTATTATTATTGAATTTCCCATTGAGAAATACTTGGTAAAGTGCTTTAGGAAACACTTGAAAATTCCTGATAAAGCTGAAAATATGACACTACTGTGTGACCACAAACACATGTTAAGCTGACATAGTACCACAGAATCAAAAGTAAATTATTCTTTGTTAGATCAGGTTTCTATCAACATTTAAGATACCAGCAGTTAAATTTGTTATGTGACCAGGGAACAAAAAATCCATATAAGCCTTTTAGTGTTAACCTAACCTCTTTCCTCTGCCATAGGGGAACATCCTTTTTTGACCTATCTAGAAAAGACTGCTGTGTCTTAAAAATGTAAGAAAGATAAATACTATTCAAAATTAATACAAGAATCCCCACTTTCTTCCAGGATCATTTACTGGTAGAACATTTACAATCATTCTTCCACTATTCAAATAATTTATTTATGTTCAGCTTTGATATCTTATCTAAACTGTTATATACTGTTAAACTGATATTTAAACTGTTAAAGCAGAAAAATATGCTCTTCTAGACCTGATATTTTAAAAACATGAATTTTCCTTTACCAGTTACAAGTAGTAGGATAGACACATCCAAGCATTTAAGATACAATAGCTTAAATACACTTATTTTCAAGTGAATATATTTTGCAACTTGTAGAATTTAATGCAAACTCAGGCAAGAGAGCCCAGATATTCTCACTGAGTAGAACTATATACAGAATAATATTTCAATATTTGAACGGAAAATACATTGTGGGATGTTATGAAATTATGGAGTCTGCACAGGATAATAGATTGAATTCAGCATAGTGAAAACCAAAGTGGTCTGTGAAGAACTGTAAACATTGTTCCTCAACATTGGGAGAACGTACCATGCTTGCTTCCAAATAAAATCCTTAGCCCCAATCCCTGACAAAAGATTCTAATCCACATGTATTTTTACTTAAAAAGCAGAATACAACATTTTAATGCCTCATGATGATTTGTAAATCAAAATAATTCTCGCATTAAAAACAGGATAAATTACCTCAACAAAAGTAGCTGCCTTTCAATCATGAGATTTACCGCCTTCAGCATTAATCTCAATCTTTTATCAGAGGACTGTAGCCCTAAAATTAAAACATAGTACACTTTTCCTTATTAGGATAAATTAGATGGACTATTTTGGTGGCAAAGTTAGTTTGACTGTTTTCTTCTGGCCAAGTAGATTGCAGTGGGAATAGGAAGCCTGGAACATGAGACATTAATCTGGGATACTGCTGATATTTTACAGGGCAGAGAAAATATATCAGGGAAGGAAAAAGGGGCAACAGATTCTGTCTTCTACTGAAATTACATTTACAGAATAGTTAAAAGTTCCTATTTGCAAATCTTTCAGCAAGGAAACATAAAGTACCCAAATATCTCAGAAATATAAATGAGTAATAATTTATTTTATTTATATCTCACCTTTATTATTTTTATAAACAATTCAAGGTGGTGAACATACTTAATATTTCTTCCTCCTCCTATTTTCCCCACAACTACAACCCTATGAGGTGATTGGCCCAAAGTCACCCAGCTGGCTTTCATCTCAAGAACTCAAGAGTCTCCCAATTTCTAGCCTGATGCCTTACCCACTAGACCATGGGTGTCAAACTCGCCATGTCACGTGACGTGTTGCAACGTATCGCAACTCTTTTTGCATTGCCGGCAATTGAGTGGGCCTGGTTTTGGTATGATGAAACCTGCCCGCGGGCCGGCAGTTTGACACCCCTGCACTAGACCAAACTGGCTCTGTATAGTTACTACAGTATATACTTGCATTTAGCATGAAGGTAGAAGTTACTGGACCTTTGAAGCCACTGCCTCTCTTTACTTTTCTGCATTTTAGTTGGAGATAAAATGTTTCCTGAGGGATTGCCTGACATTACATGACAGCATTATCTATCTAGCTGCAAATGTCTTTCAAAAATTTATCACATGCATGAGGCAGTGAAAAAGTTTCATGAAAAAAGTTCAAGATGGTAACAATTAATAGTACAGAAGTGAAAACTCAACAGTAAATCTCTTTACTTTGTCCTGCTGACTATGTGCAACTAGTATGTCATTTTACTCCAGAAAGTTTTGGGGGCAAAGGGGTATACTAGCTTCATAAAGCCATATGTAATCCAATATGCAAACACAGAAAAGATATCTACTCAGGAATTAGTGAAACAAGGACTTAATTGCCATGTAGCAGACACTTGTTAAAAATGAATTATATCTAATAATGAAATTTGGAGGGAAATAATCCTCAATTCCTAAATAAAATCATTTTAGATTTCAAAATGAATCATACATCAGTACTTAGCTAACATTTGATCAATTATACTATTATATTAAATGAAATAATAATAAATGCATATTTTCCCACTTTTAGACCCTCAAACTCTATGTCTTCAATAAAGGTAGGGTTTCTAATATAGATCAGAAATGCCACCTCTTTATATGGAAGCAGAAAAGAGAGAGAATCCTCCAAAACTCTGCTTTTTTTATCTAGCAAAGGCCAAAAATATGCTACCAATGGGACTCCCAAAAGCCCACCGTAGCACAAGTTATTCCATCTGTCATCTCCAGGAACAGCTGTAACACTTCACCCCAGCTGGAATGCTTACAGCCACAGCTCTCACTCAGGCCATCCTGCTCCTTCTTCAGTAGGTTCTAAAAGATACCCAGAGAAGATATTCATGTTGTTGGGTACATGGACAGATCTCCTTCAGAATCTCCTGCCAAAAATGAAATCCTGATATCACAATTGATTAGACTAGTTGGCTGACCTTGCGACTAATTTATGTACACACCACAAATTGTGTTTATTGTGTTATATATCAACAGATTAACTGCCAGTGTCTCCTATCTCCAGTTTAAACCTGTGGAAATAATACACGAGGACCTCCCATCATACTGTAAGTATGGCCCACACAGCAGGGATGCTGTGATAAGCAATGCTGGTTAGCTATGTAAGCTTGTATATAGAAACTGGCTGAGAATGCTTACAGAATTGTACTCCATCACTTACCATTCTATAATATTTTTACTCATAGGAAATTATCTGTGCATATGCATTCTTATTTTAATTACTCTTTTCTGCAAAGGTTCTTCACCCTTTTCTTCTTGAAGAAAAGAAGCATCCTTCACAATTTTCTTAGCCAATGAGAAAGACGTTCAGGGTTAATCTTGAGGAAGATAGTTCATTATCTACCCCAAATTAACTATAACAATTATTGCAGAACCTGCTGTGTGGAGACATCTTTCTGCTATAGTTTGGGATCTGCTTCAGTTCCGGCACTTTGAAGAAACTCAAACACTTGTGGGGGTCTGCCCTGTTTCCTATATTAATGCTTATGTAGCTGTCAATATGTAAATAGGTTACTATAACTGGACAACCCATCCCCCCAAAAAGTTCTCCACCCATTTCTTCTTACATACAACATATAAGTGTTGTCCATTTGTCATGAATGACAGAACAACAGACTGCAGTAATTACAGAAGGACAGAAAAAGTGTGCTTTTGA